TATTCTTACTTTACAGCATTTTTTCACACTAACTTTTGCACAGTACTGTGTATATAAAGGATCTTGCTGAACTGTTATGTACTATCTTTGAGAAAGCTTGGAGAACAGATAAAGTAGTGGACTGAAGATAGGCAAATGTTATCCCTATTTTCAAAAAAGGGGAAAGCAAGGATCCAGGAAACTATAGAGATATCAATATATCAGTACTTGGAAAGGTTCTACAGCAATCATACAGATCAGTCTGCAAGCATCTTGAAAACAATGCAGTAATTACCAAAAATCAATATGCATTTGCTAAGAACAAGATTGCCAGGCTAATCTTCAAAAACTGTAGTCAAAGAATTTCATCAATTGTTCCTCATTCACTGGAATGAAGTACTGAGTAGAGTACATAAGTTTCAGTCTTAAGTTCCATATGTTTTTATTAATGGCTTGATGGAGAAATGGAAAAAATGCTTATCATAATTTGCAGATAACACAAAACTGGATAATAGTTAATATCTTACAAGACAAAAATAAAATTCAAGAAAATATTTATGGATTATAATAGAATGACATTTAACAGATATAAATGCAAAGTTCTTTACTTAGGAAACATAAATCAAATACAGAGTTATAAAATTGGGGATACTTATCTTAGTAAGAGTACTTGTGAAAAAGATCACGGAACAGTAGTTTACTGCAAACTACTGTTATGAATCAGCTGTGTGATATGAAAAAATGGTAACTAATGGAAAGTAAGAATTCAACTTTATTTTGTGTTGGTCAGGGCATAATTCTTTAAGAAAGATTCAGACAAACTGGAACAGGTTCAAAACAAGGAAATGAGGATGATCAGAAAGTATGTCCATGGAAAGACTAGAAAAGACTGGGAATATATTGAGAAAAGAAGATTGAGGGGGGATAGGTTTCTACTGTTCTATAGTAAAGTACATAAAATAATGGGTTTGGGTGAAGAGAATGCTTTAATTTGGACTCCTGCACTAAGCAGAAGATTGAATTAAATAGCCAAACAGCCCTTTTCAACCATATGATTCTATTATAGAATGAATTATGAATTCAATGGGATTTATTTCTGAGTAGACATAGGATGCACAGAATGGACTTAGTCCATAATCAGTAGTCCATAATCACACATAATTCTTACCCATGTTTTTATCCTACATGATGTGTGAAGCCATTTATGGTGGCTTGGAAACTATCCACAAACCCAAACTAACTAATCACAGCATTAGCTTAGCATGTTAACCCAGTATATTTAAAATTATTATCTAAGGCTTCAATCCTATTTCTACTTATCCTGGGACAAATCTTTATAAACTCAGTGGGGCTTATTTCTGAGGAAACATGGATAAGATTGAACAGTAAAAATTGCCTGAGCAGCAGAATACAGAATGGGAAGATAAAAGTTCACACATTACTATTAATATTATCATCATCCTCATCAACATCCTCATCCTCATCATGAATTAATCCATTTATGTATAAATACCTCTTAGTTTACTAAGAATTTTACTGGGGAACAGCTCAACTCCAGGGTCACTTTAGATTTACTATCCCCTGTTTGAGTGTAGTTTTTTTTTTTTTTAACTATTATGTAGCCATTTCTTTAACTGTATTGTATGTGCTCTTCTAATATATTGAGTGTATTTAAAAAAAAAAAAACTGCTAAAAGTTTCAAGAACTCCAAGTCCAGTAAAAAATAAACAGTTTTGACCACTTAGCTCTGCTTAACTATACTAAGGAGGCATAATTTTCTGTCAAATACAGTTTTAAATCAGCCTTCAAACAAACTTCTGAACTAAAAATAATGCTCGGGAAATCATTTTATTCCCCTTCAGTGCCAGATAACTTTGAAAAGTTTTTAAAAGTCTGACTTTTCAGTGCAACACTGACACCTGCTGGATTTTTTAAAATAACATAGCATCCTCATTTTGATATTATCCCCATGATTATCCCAATGAGTAGCTGGTTGAGTTCCTCTGTTAACTAATATATTTTCTCATATGAACAGAAAAGAAAAATATTAAAGAAAATGATTGCAGAGAACAGTACAAAAAAGTATTACAAACCTGTTCAGGTTCCACATGACAAAACATTGAAATCTTTTCTTTCACAGCCATTTCTATGGGTTTAGTACTTCTACAGACTATCTGTAAAAGAGATATATACAGATTAGCAACACACTGTGGAATAACAATTTCCTAGAAACAGTACTTTCTTCCTTTTTTATTTCTGCTCAGTTAAAAAGCTTTTAAAGTGTACTTTTCCTACAAGAGAAAAGAACAAAAAATACTTTGAAACAGCTTGCATAAAAATAAATCTCTTATACTAATAACCTATGATAGAATTTCCAAATCTTACTAATTAAATAATCTAAGTTCCTCTCCTTCCTCCAATCCAGCAATGATTCTAAAACTTCCTGAGATGTTTTGTAGTTTTTCAAGAATGGGGGAAATACTGTTTTAATATTAAGCTATGCCTATCTTGTTTTTAAGTCATGTAGTTGCTAACCTAGAAAACTTTCCTAGCAAATACAGTCACCAAAGCAAAATCTCAGGTGTCCAATGCAGAGTTGGAGATTAATGCACACATGTTGATCTGAGGTGCATCTTCAGATTTGACCCAGATAGACACTTGTAATAAAAGGCTTCCAGGCAGAGATTCAAGAACACAGCCCTTGATAAGGTAACTTTATAACAGATACCAGAAACATCATAATTAGAGTAGACTCTACAAGACTACAACCATGTATGTATGTGTGTATGTATGTATCAGACCCAAAGTTCAAATCTTATGTCTCTTTCTTCTGCCTGTGCATCTTAACTGAGAAGACAGCCATTTCTCTTTGGGAGAAATGGTTGAATTTATGCATCATTGCGTAACAAAACAGTCGGGTCCCAGACCACCTGCTTCTGAGCTTGCCTGATCTAGCCCTCAGTCAGGGAGGTTCTTCTAATTCAAGCAAATGAAGTAGGTCCTGTTTCAGCAAAGCAAGATACCAGAACCTTGTTAAATGTGTAATATCTAGTGCCTTTGACAGAAAGCACAGAAAGTCAAAGGTATCTTTTTCTATTCACTGCCTAACAAATACATATACAATGGGCAGCCAATAATATAATGCAATTATGTTAAGCAGATAGCCTGTCTATACCTCTGTTTAAAATTTCAGCTAATATTCCACACTGCAAGCAGTTAACCCCTCCCCCTCCTCGCCACAATCATTAATCAGGCAGTATCTAATATAAAAACAGAGTGAAGCTTTTTGGCTGCATTTAACAGATAAGGCACTTTTCTAGAGTAAACACATTTTTATAACTTTAATCAGCAAATTCCCTCTCAGATTCACTGCCTGAGTAAAAATAATACCCTGTATACATTCAAGTGACAGGCAACTATAAACGTACCAACTGCTTCCACTAGAACAATATAAATGTGGGCTTTTCTTTCAGATGTAACATTGCAGATTGTATTAAACTCACCAAATCAGGAGAAAGACCAAGTCCCCTTAAAGCCCGAACACTGTTTTGAGTTGGTTTTGTTTTCTGTTCACCAGTAGCATTAGGCTGAAAAAAACAATAATTAGAATTAAGTCATTCCAACTTCATTTTTGTTGGTAAATACTGCTACCATTCCTTTCTGATGATAACAGTGCTCTGATACTATGGGAATAATTAAGATTTAACAGAATTATATTGAAGCCTTGATTTAATGATCCCTCCATTAAGTGGAATTGGGATGCAACAGACCCAATTTCTGTCCCCTTGAAAGAACAGACAAATCCGTCCCATCTGAAGTAGTTTGGATGATGTATCGTATTCTTCCGACAATAAGACACCCCCATGTACAAGACGACCCCACTTTTCCAACCCAAAATTAAGAAATCAATATTTTAAAG